TTTTTCTCGTAACAAATACAGAGTCGCTGAACTTTCTGAGAAAATCAAAGACGTTGAAACGAAATTGACAGCTATGCCTGACGTCGACGAGAAACAATCTGAAGGGTTGAGGAAAAAACGGCAGCGGTTACATAAGGAGGTGTGTCTGATTCCATTGGTATTTGCTATTCTCTTATGTTTAATTTCTATCTCTTGGTCATCTACCTTTGCTTTGGAAATATTCTACGGTCATTCTATCACCTTTTAAAACCATCAGGTTTCTTCTTATTGTTTACTTTGGTTCTTTATCTCAGATTGAGACCCTACGACAAACTTGTGCGAGCGCTGAAAAGTTTGAGGAGGCAGAGCGTGAAATTCAGAGGAAAAGCACTAAGAAGGATGAACTTGAGCGTGATCTGCATGACCTCTTGGAGAAACACAATGATGCGTTTGTTTCTTTGTTTGGAAAGAAAACGAATGGACCGTGGAGGTAAGAGAATGAAGTGACTTGTTTTATCCTTGCGTATAAAAAAATTTCTATTTAGAGAATTGTTGCTTTTTTGAAAATTTGCAGAAGTTCACGTTTCTCAGGTTACTCTGTGAAATGGCTGAAGTTGTAAAACGCCTGGATACCTGACTCTATCTTTGAGGTCAAGGTCACAACCTATTTGTGTCTTGTTGAGTTTCGCAAATTCTCAGGAACACTCAATTTGAAAGATAAGAAAAGTGCATTCTAAGAAAGCGCAAAGTACCATGTTGCTTCTGATCAAAAGAGTTTTATCTGGATTAGTTGCTTTGCATTTACAATTATGCACATTGATATAACCTCGTTTCTAATCTTCTTGTTCACTCTATTTTTTTCAGCGAGCCAGTGAATTGTTTGGTAAAGTCTGGAGAAGAGTCCAATCGAGCAATTGAATATGATCTAAGAAAGAGCGAAAGGGAATTAGACCGTGCTTGTCAATGTCTAGAACAATCGAGAGTGGAGGAAGAGCAGTTACTGAATGAAGTCGAGCAACTAAAGAAGAAAATATTTGACGTGAGTTGCGTCATAACTTTCTGGCCTTTCTATCAGGCT